CCTGTAGTGTATTAAAAAATTTTCTTAGTGAAATTTTTTGCATTTTGAATGAAAAAACTGATTCTTCGCACTTTTCAAGATAAAAAAGCTCTCCTGTGATTTTTAGTTATAGTTAGCCGTTTTTGAGATATTGCGATTTTTAAGGTTCGATGCATTTTTAATTATTTATGGGAAAATAATATTTTTTTTTACATTTTCGATTTGGGTATTACAAGTAATTAAGATGATCGTTTAGATTGTGGTTTTAAACACAGCAATAATTCCTAACTCCAAATAAACACAAAAAACAGAATATTAATTTGTTTAATTTTCCGATATTATTTTTAACAAATTAAATTAATTATTTACAACTAAAATGCTATTGGATAGTTAAGACAAACATACAAAATCTAAAGTAGTTGCTGGAAATGTAAACCCAATTGTTCAATACACAATTCACATCTACGAATGATCGAACGTGGTATAGCATATCTCTTGCGGTTACGGGAGTCTGGTACACTTTTTCTTTTAGAAATCCCCACACAAAGAAATCTAATGGATTTAGGTCAGGGGATCGTGGAGGCCAGGTGACTGGTCCTCGACGGCCGATCCATCTTTCTGGATAATTTTCGTCCAGCCACTTTCTAACTATTCTCGAATAACGAGATGGACAACCATCAAGCTGGAACCAGGCCAATCTTCTTAAATCTAACATAACATCATCCCACATATTTGCATGTTCCGCCTTTAAAAATTCCAAGAAGGTCGCAGCATTTAACCTTGCAGGCAAAAAGTAGGGTCCAAATAGTCGATTAGGGTAGATACCAATCCACACGTTCACACTAAATTCATGCTGAAAATTTCTTTCCCGAACTGCATGCGGATTTTCATGCGACCAAATATGTTGATTATGAAAATTTACCACTCCACGTCTAGTGAAGCATGACTCATCGGTCCATAAAACGTTACTTAAAAACTCCCTATTATTATCAGTTCTATCAAAAATCCACTGACAAAATCTGATTCTTCGTTCTCCGTCCCCTGACTGTAGTCCCTGCACAGGTTGCAAATGGTAAGGAAGTCTATGGTCATTTCTAAGAACACGGTGAACATGGCTTGCTGAAATTCCCAAGGCACCAGAAACTCTCCTAACGCTTGTGGTCGGATCTCTATCAAACTCACGCAGAGTCATACGGGTAAATCTGCGCTGACGAACATTTATGTTTTGATCCCTTTGGAGATTTCCAAAACCATTTTCAATTATTCGGCGATGCACTCTTACAAATACTGAGCGAGTTGGATGTCGTCTGTTTGGAAATCTTCGTGCGTATTCTCTGGCTGCTTCTGCTGCGTTTCCATTTACAAAGCCATACACAAAATGAATATCCGCTAACTCTTGATTGGAGAATAAAAATGGCATTTTTATAAAACTTACAAAAAAAAAACAGGTAAAAGAAACTAAATTTCGTGCATTCACAATTGCAAAAAAACGTTTCAGGTTTCAACAGACAACAAAACTAACTGTCAACAATTGACGTTTAACCTTATTCTGCTTTCAACTTCAAAAATATTTGCAGGCACAGCCTACTTCTAAAAATTATCGAGATACTGACTTTTTAACCATAAATAATTAAAAATGCATCGAACCTTAAAAATCTAAATATCTCAAAAACGGCTAACTATAACGAAAATTCACAAGAGAGCTTTTTTATGTTGAAAAGTGCGAAGAATCAATTTTTTTTATTCAAAAAGCAAAAAATTGCACTAAGAAAAAATTTTCGGTCATGTTAATACACTACAGGTACAGTAGAGTGCGCCCTCTAGCGGCTACAGTAAAACTATGCCCATGGTTCGCTTTGTCGTACCAAAAAACCATTGTATACCAATTTTCACTATTATACATCAAATATTGTTCGAAATATTTAAAAAAAACTATTTTAGAAAGTAAATTTAAACACCCTGTATTTCGGAAAACACGCATTTTTCGACCCATGTTTACCTATATAGGCTTTATGCATTAATTTTAAAAGTTCTATCGAATCTTAAAGTTATCCAACAATGAACTGAAACACCCTGTATATAAAAGCAGTTTTTCCTACAATATTGCTTTTATTTATAACATTCCAAAAGTACCTATATAAAAAATTTTCGTTACCTGGCTTTCGACAAAAACAACATTACCTTGACCGCCGAAACATATGATTTACATAATGATTAATTTCATTCTTTTTCCTTGATTTATTCAGGTTCATAATTGTTGATGTATAATTAAATTACGTCAGCAATTGTGTCCGAACATGAGCGCCCATTGCCCCCCCCCCCCTGGATTCTGCTTTAAAGTGAAATATTCTTTATGAGTTACCCAATTCTTGGATAAGAAGTGGCGTGTGAGAACATCCCATTATAGAAGATATTATTTCTGCTACCATTTTGAATAGTTGCATTTTTGATCCTGCACAACCTGTACATGCGCCCCCCCCCCCTGGATTTTGGTATATGGACGCTCATGTTTCCCAAGCAGCTTTTTTGTTTTATTCATAATTTGCTAAGGAGCTTCTGTCATTTCAAATTAACTCCGCCTTCTCCTCAAGGTCAACCAGGCAGATATTAATAATCGGTATCTTTTTAACTACAATCCACAATAAGTACATATTTCTATGCAGATATAATATCAGAAACCAGCTATCGACAAACTCTCTCCACCACTGTTCGCTAATCCACTCAAGCTTTATGCACCGCATCAGACCAGCAGTAGACTATGCAAGAGGCGTGGCCTACTTGGTGGGATCTCCTCGAATCGGCCCGCCCTTGCATTTGAGCCTTGCAAGAGTGGGGAGGCGCTCAGGCATGCGCCACCGATATGCAGAAAGGGGTAAGCGGCAACGGAAGGAAGCTACTTGCCGCATAAAGGAAAACAGGGTGATGAGAATGGAGGGTAGAGGGGGAATGAAACCAAGGGAAAGATATTGGTTTGTGGAGCATATAAGGGCCTATGTGGGAGGATTCAATGTATTGCGTGAAACGTATTGTAGTGGTTTGTACTTTTGACAGGTGAATTAATAATTATGCCTGTTCGGTTATTCAATATTATCTAAAGGTGTATCATTTATTCCATCTTGTTTCTGTAATATCACAAATTGGTTTCCATACACGAATGATCAGTAGCGGAGATTCTGTTGGAAGTAAGTGGACAGGTAACAATGCAAGATACAGTAATGAGCTGCCAACACGGATTAAACTTATAACTAGAGTACATATAAAAATATGTTTAAATGAGCTATTGAAGATGTTACTGTTAGGAATATGTGGAATGAAACACAGAGAAGGAAAGAACATGGTAAAAGTTCAGTCCAAAACAGCAAACTCTACAAAACAGTATAGAGATCCACCCAGGAGCGGCTGGCCCTTAAGTTCTGCAGAGTAGCAGAACTGCCAAAACTTTTGTCTTAACAGAAAAAAGCAGTAGTAATTTGATCATTATTTATTTTCCGTTATCACATAAATAGAAACAATACCGGCAACGCTGTCCCCGCAAGACACGGCGTCGAGTGTGTTTCGAATTGAGAAAGCATTATAATCGACCAATTGTGTACTGTTCATTTTCGTCGCGACCGCAGCGTAACATTATTCATGGCCCACTTGAAAAGAGTCTGTGCACTACTTTGACACAAGCCGCACGCGCTTGCTTTTGTCTCTCTCTACAAAATCAAAAGGGCGATTTAAGCATAAGCATGTGCTGCACGTTAAGGTGCGTTTAAATTAGTGCGAACACGAGCGAACGAACGAATGTATTCGTTCGTGCTCCCTCTTTCGGTAGCTGTCTCCACATTTTCATCGAACGAACATTCGCATTCGCAAATGATCCGTGGAAACTCGACGACGTTATAATTAGCGCTGCCAGTTTTGTAGTTATAACAGGCCTTTCGCAAAAACTTAAAAAAAAGAAAAGAAAATGATGTTCTAATTTGTTAAAGAGAAGAAACCAGACAGGGGACGAAGCTTTGTTAATGGATTTAACAAGCGATAACTTGGGCCAAATAACAAACTTTTGTAGAATGTCTGTGACAGATTTGGAATTTTTGCTAAATTTAATCGGACCTACCATATCCAAGCAAGACTCAAGTTTCAAAAAGGCAATTACTGCAAGAGAGAGAATGCTGTTAACACTCCGATTTTTGGCAACAGGTGATTCCTATACTAGCCTAAAATATTTGTTTAAAACTTCTACTTCTACAATGTGCTATGTTATTCCTGAAGTGTGCAGTGCGCTAATCCATGCTTTAAAAGAATATGTCAAGGTAAGTTAAATTAATTACTATTCATTTAGCTGTTGTGAAAAATATATTAGGAATTTCAACTATACATTACAAAATGTAAGAATAATTATGGCTTAAACTGAATTAAATAAACAGCTAATCTGTCAGTAATGTTTCTGTCCTCCATGGTATCTTCCATTGCGGGAGGACATGTCCCATACCTAATAATCATTTTGTGGTGATGAATGGCTTTCGGATGAATACGAACTCGGCGAAAGTTGTGGAGTACTTGTTGTGCATGACTTATGAATGACACTATTATTGTTATTGATGGGTTGTGTGAATAACTGGGAAGAACTGTGCGGCTGCTGAGTGAATCTTGCTAGGTTGAAGCCAATGGATGTCGTGTAAGTTTGTTGATTCGGAGTAATATCGTATTTTCCCATATCCGCTTCAAAAAGGATGTTATTAATTAAATATTGTACGATATCTTTCAGATTATACAGATCCGTACAAATCTAATGCGAAGTACGATATCTGATTGGTCGGTCGGTGCTTGGTATAAAATTTTGCGGAGCATTTGAATTGGCCTACGGGTCCATGACGAAACCGAGAGCACTCAAAACCCGGGAATATTTCGTGGACTGATTAATTTTTCTGCTGAGCTTGATACAACCTCAAGCGAACACATAAAAAATGTTTCAATATTTAAAGGAACTTCGAAAGAAATACAAAACGATCTACTGGATTGTATTCTTGAAGCTTGTCATGAAGAAATAATAAAACAGATTAACAGAGCCTCGTAATTGGCGATAATAGCAGATGAAACAACGAACATTTCGGGGAAAAACCAATTTTCAGATACGTATTTAACGTGAACTAGTAAAACGTTTTTGGAATTATATGAATCCCGAAAAATGTGACGCTGATACTCTCAAAAGACATATTTTGAGCGTCGTAGATCCGTTAATAGGAAATTTCCCTGACAAAGCTATGATGGAGCCGCGGTAATGAGCGGACATAATGCTGGAGTACAGGCAAAAATTAAACAAAGATATCCATTTGCTCACTATGTGCATTGCTATGCGCAGCAGTTAAACCTGATTATGTCCCAAGCTGGGTGTTCTTTGGAGATTTGAAAGATATTCCGGGATTTTTTTATAATTCTCCTCAACGCGTAGAGGTACTGAACAGGATTGTGGGGAAAAAATTCCCCAAGGAGCAACAACTCGTTGGAATTTTAATATTCGAACAATAAATGTAGTGTTTGAGAACAGAGAATCACTCATTGAATGCATGGAAGAAATAGAAGAAAATTTCACTAATGAAACCGTTTGCAAGGCAGCTTGCGGTATTCGCCGTATGTTAAACGATTCTGTTTTCGTGTTTTTGTTGACATTTTTTCATCATGTCATGCCTCACGTCGACATCTTGTTCAACCAGTTACCGAGCCAGCGCAAGTTAAAACGGCTATCGATAATTTTGAAAAATGTATTGTCGATGTGAGAAATAAAATTGATGACATAATAAATGAAGCCAAAAGTATATGCACTGAGCCCCAAGGCAACAAAAGGAGACGACGTAATAATAGCAGTCACGATCACCGAGTTGCCGCATTAGAAGTATGCGACAATATAGTGAATTCTGCAAATGACAGATTTCAATTCAAAGATCATTTGGTAGCCGCATCCCTTTTTTCCCATAAAACTTTGGAGAATACTGTGGTAAGTTTCCTGATGACAAGGTGGAAACTACCTGGTTGGCTTATCCCGAAGTCGTTTAAAGACAGAGTTGTCTGTTATTTATGCACGGAATGATTGCCGAGATTAACGGAACTCTGTCTCTTTTGAAATTTTTGATACAAAATAGTTTGGAGAAATTATTGTTACAAGTTTTATGTCAACATCAGAGGCTACGCGAAATTTCTCAACATTGAAAAGAATCAAGCCTTTTTTTCGTAATACTATGACCCAGGATCGACTTACAGCGTTGTCGATGCTGTCCATTGAAAAGAAATTTATTTCGACCATGGAAAATTTCAACGGGAAGGTGATCGACAAATTTGCTGCCAAGAAGGAGCGCAGGATCGAACTGACATAAAAAATAGGTTAGTTTGGATTTACAGAACACCTGTTTTATTTTGCCACGAGCCGCCACTGGATCCACCGCACCAACAAATATAGCTACACTATAGCTACTAATTTAATCCTCATAAAATTTTAAGAGTATCGTCATTATTCCTTAGTCAGTTCCAGTGACGTGTTGAAAATATTTAATTTTATCTGACTGCTTCCTTTGTATCATATATAAGTTGTTCAGTAGTTTGCCTTACAGTTATAGTTTTTCACTAAAAACTAGAAATAACTATCCCAACATTCGTAGGTATAGATTTGAAGAATGTTTTAATTGGTTTTTTCCTTTTTTACTTAGTCAGATAATCTTCTGGCGCAGCTGAGTTATCTTGTAGCAGCGAAGTTTAAAAGCTCTCCTGCTCTCCTTATTCAGAATAATACATCATTTCAGTGATAAAGGCTCATATGTATACAGGATGCAGATCAAGGCTTCTATTTCAGTGCAGCAGTTCTTTGCTGCTTTCTTTAGAAAAAGTGTTTTTTATTTAATTGTAAAAAGAAATGATCCGAAAATATTTCAACTCTTATCCCAATTTGTGTCCAATAGAGTCCTACAGGGTTTATTATCCATGATGGATGTGCGCTCGTGTTCTGTATGCACTTTCACCATAATATAGCATGGAATGGCTCATTCTAATTTGCCATCATTATTGTTTTTTTTATACTTACGTTATACAGGGTATAAACGTTATGATAGTCATTATTTAAATGGGTGATAGAGGGGTTAAAAGGAGCAAAAAGTTTCACATAACATGGGGTTCAAAACGGCATTTTTTTAGAGAAAAGCGACTTTGAAGTAAAATAAAATCTGACAACGCCGCAATGCCAGACGCAAATTACGACGGATCGCAGTGTAAATAAAGATGCAGTTTGTTATTTTTGGCTCTAAGGTATTATTCCATTATTTGATAATGTACTCGTAAAATGCAAACAATTAAAAAAACGGACTTACCACTAACTGTCTCAGCGCTTTACCTGGTGTGTGAAAGTTTATTGAACGTATTAAAAAAATCCACTTATAAATAGGGAACACCATTTTGATACATACATTGTTTTTCTTTTTAAGACACACACTGCACTTTTTTGTATCTAAAGAAGGTGTTCAAAATGTCGTCCTCCACTTTCCACACAAGCTTCATTACGACGAACCCAGTTTCTTCTTACTCTAGGTCCTCGAGGTTGTCCATTTATTATTTGGTATGCGATAGTCCTACGCGGCGGCCTAATTCCCGACTGCTGATATCTGCATTGATTTCCACGATATTTAAAAGTTCTTCCTCCTGCTCTACAGTAACCAGTCTTTCACGAGTGCGAATATTAGTGGGCTGAACACTTCCTGTATCTCGAAGTCTTTGGTACACTTGCACAAAGTCCTTCTGTCTGGGTGTACCCGTTGGCGAAATATGTCGCGATAAATTTGAGCTGCAAGATTTGAATTCTGACGAGCTTAACCGTAAACTAACAACACGTCGGCGAACTCTTGAATCGAGAACATTGTAAATAAACACGGCGACGTACGCGAACAAACACAAAACAACACGCTCGACAAAACGATAAAGTAATTTATCTATGCAAAACGATAACGAGCCACTGTTACCGTTTGCGATCGATTACCGGTCCGATAATAGTGATGAAAGACCGACGCGCGGTTGTCATGTGTGTTTTAAATGTTTAATTCAATGAAACTTACTTACTGACTACAAATTTTGGCTTAACTTATAAAAACTTAATGCCATTTATTTGTTAATTACCCAATTTAAAAACGTTATAGATTAGATTATAAAAATTAGTAAGATTGTGGTGATTGTGGTCGATATAAAGCACTTCAAGTTGTAAACTGTAAAGCCATTTAGACAAAAATCTATTGACTTTCGGATCATGGGTCATATGAACTTTTTAACTTGTTTTGACCCATTTCAATAATCACTACCATAATGTTACACCCTGTATGTATAACCAGATTTTCCGTTGCTATTAGGTACTTTGGTATTCTTGTGTCCAAGGATTTTTTCCCTGGCAATTCGTCAGTCTAATTTGCCGATTATGACACATTCAATGCTTAAGTTAGGCAAGGCAATTCAACCATCATTACCATCAGCAGAACAGTCGCGGTAACCGTCACGACACCGCTCTCAAATAACAAAGCTAATATGCAGTAAAAAAGCAGCAAAACGTAAAAAGGAAATTAAAAGTAAGTACTCACTATCAGGAATTTGACGCACTGCCCTGTCCCTTGCCTTTGCGCTATGTAAAGAAACTAACATCAAATCAATAACATCGTTATTATACTAAGTGACATATAAATTCGAACACCCAGTTTAAATGGTTTTATTTTAATAAAAGTTGGTGAATGTATTTATCTTACTGTAAGTAACAAGTGAAAAAATTTTCAGCCTTATCAGTTGGACATTCCGGTTTTTATACTGCTTTTTTTTAAGTCACTAACGCTCTAAAAATGAATATTTCAGCCGCAGTAAAGAATCAACGTTGGCGGATTTTGGTTCTTGACATCCTTTACGATTGGTTACGATGCCTAGAGTACGGAGACCTGTACGATTTCGTCAACTTAGTGAGTTTGACCGGGGCCGTATAGTGGGACTTCGGGAAGCTGGACTTTCTTTTCGGGCAATTCCAGTTAGAGTGCAAAGAAGTGTAGACACTGTGGTTAGGTGTTGTCAGGCATGGCTTCGAGAAGGCCGTACGCAAAGAGCAAGGGGCACTGGACGCCGCCGTAGAACAACAGACCGTTAAGATCGCCGCCTAAGATTATTGGCCTTAAGGGACCGTTTCTCCACTACCAGGTCCATTGCAAATGAATGGTTTGCAGAACACGGAAGACCTATTGGCATGCGAAGTGTTTACCGACGAATGAGAAGTTTTGGCTTGTTTTCATACCGGCCACACTGGGTCCTCCCTTTAACTCGACAACACCGACGTAATCGCCTTGAGTGGCGCAGACAACGGTCACTCTGGGATCAGGAATGGAACAGTATTGTCTTTAGTGACGAGTCTCGATTTTGTTTAGGCATGCACGATGGTCGTGCCAGGGTTAGAAGGCGACGTGGTGAAAGGAGGAATCCACAGTTTTTTGTTGAAAGACATGTTCATCACACTGTTGGAGTTATGGTTTGGGGTGCTATAGCTTATGGTTCCAGGTCACCTTTAACCTTCATCAGAGGTAACATGAACGCGCAGCGTTATATCCACGAAGTTCTAGAACCCCATTTTTTACCCTATCTTGCACCCTGGCAGATCCAACTTTCCAACAAGATAATGCCCGACCACATGTTGCAAGAGTCACAATAGACTTCTTTCAACATAATAATGTCACATTGTTACCATGGACACCAAGATCTCCCGACTTATCCCCAATTGAGCACGTGTGGGATATGATGGGTAGGAGATTGCTCAATTTGCAACGTCCTCCTCAGACTCTAGAAGCACTTCGAGAGGAGTTGGTGGTTGCCTGGAATGAGATACCACAGGAGGACATTGACCACCTGATCAGAAGCATGCCTAGGCGCGTTGGAGAATGCGTAGCACATCAGGGTGCATCCACACAGTATTAAAGGTCAAAGGGCTTTGAAGCAGTGCAATCATTTTGAAATTTCTATCATTTACTTATTATGCTTCATTAAGTACTTATAAAAAATTTTATTAAAATAAAACCATTTAAACTGGGTGTTCGGATTTATATGTCACTTAGTATATTTCTAGCAATTTAGGAAATATATGGATTCAATAGAGTATGTTGTGTCATAAAAAATCAACAACTGTAAAAAAACTTCAATACCCAAATATTGCTAACGATGATTTGTTAAGACGGACGTGGTAACAATGCTTGGTTGTCAACGACGCTCGCTTGTTTTAGCGAACCTTAGTTTATATAAATGTTCGATCAATTATCATTAATTTGCATAAATCAGGAAAATCAAACGGTGTAATTGGAATGTTGCTCGGGATATCTAGATACAGTGTTCTAAATCTTGTAAGATTATACGAATCAAATGGTTCAACTGCCCAAAAACCCAGATATGTAAAAAATCCAAAGTAACAGACCCTGATAGACGAGCTTTGGGCAGAATTATCAAGTCTAATAGACGTGCTAACTGCGGAGAATTGAGAAGCTGTTGGAAGACGTGTTTGCAGGTCTACGGGTCATTCAGA